TCCGTGCATAGGCAGCCAACCAGAAACTGTTTTCGAAGCATCTGGTTGTGCTCCCTAACTTGGGGGCATAAATGCCTTACAATGCAATTGGTGTTCAGGCGATATCAGAAGACATCGTATTGCTGTGCGGAGTGCGGTGTTCTGGCTCCGTAGTGCCCTTGGGGCACTTTGGGTGCTTGGTCTCACCCACCGATTGCGCAAGTTGGAGGTCGTATAGGCGGGTGATGACGTAAGGCTTGAGCAACATGGGGCCACATACTCTTTCGTCCACTACGTGTGTGCCCTCAGACCTGAACAGGTTCTTAGGTGGCTCCATCCGTTGCAGCTGTCGGATGCAGTCGTCACTGGCATACAGAGCAATAGTAAGTTTCTTCTGCTGGGGTGGACTCAATGCCAGACCGGAGAAGAAGGACGATGAGTAGCCCTGCTGCAAGCCGCTGCCCATCGACGAAATCTATTAGCGGCATTTATTTATTTAAGTACATACGTACATATGTATCTAAGAACGTATGTAAGTTGAATGTAAGTGAATATACACGTGTCCAAATAGTAGCAATCACTGACAACGCTACATACATACATATGTATGTATGTAATATGTCTATATGTAAGTGAATGCATTCATAAGCAGACGATATCCACTTTCCTATTTCAAGTCTATTCAGACGTATCAACTAAAGGTAATCTAATATCTCGAGTCGGAATAACTGAAATGCGTTCTACTTTCTTGTACGAGTACACATTTGTGTAAATGCTGAATATTACAAACATACATATATACTTGCATATGCTCATTCAACATGCATTTCTGGAACTCCAACAAATATACACCTATACTTGCATATATAAATAAATATATGTTTGTACATATATACTAACTGGCAATGTAACCGGCATATGAATACTTTACCTTTTAACTTATTTACATAAGTCAGACATATTTATGTACATAAATACAAAGGTATGTGTTTGCTTTATCCGTCGCCACTTAGTAGGGCTTCATAATGTTCTTTACTATTTTTCTTAGGTAGGTACTACCTGTATGTTAGTACTAAATCATTCTACGGTTTCCACTATGTATGTATTACTCCATGTTTATTTGTTTTGGCGATTTGGCTTAAGCTGCTAAGCGAACTTTGCATAAGCAAATGCGTAAATGTTAAATGGGAAAATATCCACACTTAACTCTTTTATTATTTTCGTTTGCGAAGTTTTAAGCTTTAAATTGTTTAAAGCTTAGGGTTAAGTGAATTCTTGGCTTCACCTAACCAAATGCTAACACGTGGAATAATATTCCTCCTTAATGCCATGGAAACTAACACAGAGAAAAAGGTACGCAAAAAAATATTTATTTACCAAAAGGCATCTATTATATCGACTTGTATCCTGTAAGTTAGAAAGAACTTTCATTGCATATTGCTTCAGGGTGGCGTTCCATATTTCTCATTAGCCAAATTTTCCTCGGTGAAACTGCGTCCATGTGGATATGTGGATCATCAGGTTCTGTATCAAGTTATTCTCGCTAACTTTAAACCACTTCCATTTAAGAAGGGTAAAAGCCTAGCTGCAGACGACAATGAGTGAAAATGGAATGAACGGTAAACAATTTAACAAATAAATTTATAGTTCAATTGTTTATTACTTTGTCTTTAGGTTTGTGTCTTCTAAGCGTACATCGAAAGTTTTGTAACAGAGAACCAATCTGAGATTATTGATAGAACTATAAACCGATTTGGTGAACAGTCAAGACGCTACGTCTTAAGTAGTTACAGCAAATCCAACATGCTGGGATAGACGAAAGGCACACTTCCAGTGTTTTAAATGTACATATGTACATACACTCCGAGGGCTAAACATCGACTCGCACCACTATATTTCTGCAGCCAATATACGCACCCGCATGTGCGCCCAACAATGCAATGCAGCTCAACGTCGAAAAGCTGCAATAAAAACAGACGGCCAATTGATTCGCCACTCGACTCTCACACCTTCTTCAAGAAAGCGACATACGCGAGCAATGGAACCACATTTCCCGCTCATTACTGGTATGATGAGGAGAGTCAAGAAGCTGCAGATAAAAAAAAGGTGCCGCCTGCAGGACCACACTGCGCGAGCCAAGTGGGCTCATTATAGGGACTGAAGAGGGAATCTAGACGTATTTGCCGCAACAAGAAGAGAGGGGTCGAAATACGTGAGTGCGAAGAGCTTTAAATGCTGGCCGATAGAAAAACACTCGAAATTTTTAGCAGAGAGTTGAGCGACTTACGGAATGTTTCAAGACTCCTGTTTGAACAACCATGGCGACCTAGTGACCGATGTCCAGAACGTACTCAAATTATGGAGGGAACACTTTTCTACCCTTTTGAATGACAGCAGCACTGAATGGAAAAGGCTAACCCGAGCAACCAGTCCATAACGATGTAGTCGATATAAAAGCGCCTGAAAATGACGAGGTACGAATAGCGATTATGCTGACGAAAAGTAATAAGGCTGCTAGAGCTGACGGCCTGCCAGCCGAGCCATTCAATTGCGATGGCAAGGAGCTAATACGACTGGAATTCAGACTGACCCCTCCGTCCCTGACTGAAGCCCTCCGTCAACGAACTGATTGCGCCTTACCAGTGTGGTTTCCGATCAGAATTGAGGAGAACCTCTCCGAGCCGTTTGATACCAGTCGAGGTTACAGACAAGGTGACTCCCTTTCGTGTGATTTCTTTAATCTGATGTTGGAGGAGATAATAAGAGTCGCAGAACTGAACTGCTGCACAAAACTTTAGTAGAGCATACAATTGCTGGCGTATGCCGAAACATTGAGGGTTGCGGTTACCGTGTACGCACTGTAAATATTTTTCTTCGGATAAACAGGAATTAAGTTACGAAGAATTATAAGGCTCAACTTATGAAAAGCGCGTTTTTAGACCTTAGTTTGGGTTAAAGTCTCACACTGACGGGCTTGGGCTTTCGATGCTTCCTCCTCATCGAATAAACATGCGCAGTAAAAAGTTAACGTTCGTGAGTATCTCCTTATGTGATTTTGTACATCATACCTCTATTGGTTACAATTATTTCAACCCTTAACGGGTAACGTTATTTTACATACTTTTAATAATGATGAGCCTTAACAAGAAAGAAAACACAGTGGCTACTTTTTATTTAAGCTTTTTTGTATAATTTAGAGCAATTCCCTCTTTAGAGCAATGGCGAAAAAAATGGAAAAAGAGCAACACGAGCGACGAAGATTACCCGTTCAGGGTTAAGCAATAATACACAATTTTTTAGTAAGTTATTGGTTTTGAAAATTTTTTTTATAGGAAGGCCGTTGGGACGGAAGAAACTTGGGTTCGTTTGCGCCTTAAGCTCCCACATTTTCTTGAGTTCGGCAGCTAGTAGATCAAGGGAACCGTTTCGCTGCGGTACGCAGAGACTACTCTTAAGGCTCAGATCTCTGCTCCGTATAACAAAATATTCAACGTTGCGTAAATGAGAAGTTTCCTTTTACTCTGGGTCGATCCGCCCATATTGGCTATTATTCTGCTTAGGTGAGCCGTTGCCGTTGCTGCTTTTGTGGCGGCGTACTGCATTTGTGCCCAATACGTTAGCTTGGAGTCTAGCCTTAAGCTATGTTATCATGAACCAAAAATACAAAATCACGTAAGAAGGCGACGTTGTATTTGTAACTGGTTTTGAGAAAAAAGTTTGCGAAAGCGGGTTCGTCAGCTGAGCGTTTGTTTACATCACAAGCACCACTATTTTACTCTTTTATTCAAGTAAAGAAGAGTTATTTCAACATGACAACACATTTTAAAGCATTTTGTGGCGTCATTTTAGGTCGGTGTTATGCAGACAAACTTTTGTTTGCCAAATTAAATGGCGGCTGCTTAGTTTGCTCGGAGGTGGTTATGTCGAGTTTGGCACAGAGTTGCACGTTCATTATGGTTTTCATGGCTATTGCCAACACGAAATGAGAATTTCAGATGTACATAACGCGCAAAATTTAAAATTTTTGTATATGACAACACCGAATTTGCTGCAGTTTGACCAAACAAAATTAGTTTGCTGTGAGAGTCGCCAAACTCGCTCTCTCCGAGTTTGCTGCAACAACAATTGCACGCAGTTTGCCAAACAAAATTTCTGCATAACACCGACCTTACCTAAATTGTGCATTTAAAGTGGCTGACAATAGTTTTGGCTAATTTTGGTTTTCTTCTTCTTTCTTTCNTGCTTAGTTTGCTCGGAGGTGGTTATGTCGAGTTTGGCACAGAGTTGCACGTTCATTATGGTTTTCATGGCTATTGCCAACACGAAATGAGAATTTCAGATGTACATAACGCGCAAAATTTAAAATTTTTGTATATGACAACACCGAATTTGCTGCAGTTTGACCAAACAAAATTGATTGATTTCTTGTTCTTACGTGATCCTGTGTCTTTCGTTCATGATGTGTTATTGTAAATATGGGTGCAATTCAATGTAATTTGCAAGTCGATAAAAGTTGAATTAAAGTGATTTATACACAAGATAAAATAAAATAAGAGTGTGTAAAGTATTAAGTACAGTGTTATGTGCATTTATATATATGAAAGTATGTGCCAAATGCAATTTTTGTTAGGGAAACCTAGTGGAACGACTTAAAAAATTTTAACAACAAATAACTTATAAACAATGATATTGTTTATATTTTTTAGTTATACATGTTTTAGAGGATACCTCCCTTAACATCCTGACCAAGTTTCATTTGTTAATTACACCTGGTTTTCTTAAAACACAAGGTGCGTCTGACTACTAAAGCTCACCCTGTTTTTATCATGGGCTAGCCCCATGAGCTAGATGAAATTCTGACCTTCGTATTCAGCGGGGGAAATGTCAATAAAGATATTCAGAGAAAACATAAGAATGTGTAGACAGCACATAAATTTCTCACAACCATTTAATGCTTAACTACTCAACTAATAGATGGCGCGCTACGAAATGGCACTACTTTCGCTTTCTTCCGTTTAGCAGTTATCGATAAATTCAGGTGCAGCTCCGATTCTTTCTACTTCGCTAGAATTTTCAGACGCCATTGTGAGAAAGATTTTAGCTCTTGAAAGTTTGTGTAAAATATTGATAAAGAACAACTGTTAATTAGTTCAATTGTGTTCAAAGTAAAACGCGAGTGAAATTTCTTAAAGGAAAGCGAAATAAGAGCGAAAGTGTAAGTATTATGCAAGAATATACTAGAAGCCTTTGCATCGCCTCGTGCCATTGATTTTTCTCGCTTTTGGAAGCCGGTTCGTAGTCCACACTAGGGGTTAGCGGGTTGCTCTTTATCTATAAAGACTGTACCTTGTTTAATACATATATGCATACATACCTATGTATGTATTTATGCGAATAAAATATGGGTATATACACATTTTGTTGGAACTAAAGAAAATCTTAAATTTTAGTACTTATAAAATGCGTGGCGGACGAGGTGGATACGTTTCACGCGGCTCTGGCTCAAGCCGTGGCGGTAATTACCGCAGTAATAATTATGGGCGCATGCAAAATTCTGGTGGAAGGTCTGGTGGTCGGGATGGCTACAACCATAGCTACAATAGTAGTGGTGGCAATTCTCGTTATAACAACTACAATTCTGGTGCCAGTGGTAGCGGTGGCCACTATGATCGTTCCAGGGATCGCTTCAATAATAGTTCTACTGGTGGAAGTCGTCATGATTCGGGGCACAAGAGGAATTATCGTGTAAGTTCCCAATATGCATATGCTAAGTTGCTTATGTGTTGTCACATTCATGATTGCATACAAATGTACATGCAAACAGTGCCACACTAGATTATTGACACCGGGAGTTTTTTACAAACAAATGTCGCACGTTTAATAATATAACGAAGTATTTCAAAATTTCAATTTTGTGGATAAAAGCAATCAAAGTTTTATCATTTCATACAGTTAGTATACAAAAAGACGGATGGAAAGGCACATATCTTCGCCATATTTGGGAAGTTTGGTTATCTGTTGGACTGAACATATTCTACTTATCAAGCTTATTAATTGCATATTAAAATCTTCAAAAACGTAAATTTTGAGTTACACCACTATACTAGTAAACGTGCGAAGTATTTACGTGTCGTCACCCTCATGCCAGTAGCATGAACGTGCAAATTTATCAGCTTTGAGTTATTGGGCTTTTCTGGCATATGGGCGACGATATATTCAAAAAGAAATTTACCAAAAATTTCTCTTATTTTTTGGGAAATCTTTAGCTATTTATACAACGATTTAGGGTTGGCGGGGGTTTGGGAGGGGGCGTGGCTCCGCAAACCCCCTCCCCGTCCCCTCACTAAGTAGAATTCTCCTTTCTGTGTTGCCGAAGAAAAGGGGCTGAACAACTTTTGCAGAAAACAACTTTCTGCTTAGGAGGCCTTCGGCCGCGCTCAGGGATTATAACCCTCCCTAAGTAGAATTCTTTCTCTTTTGCTGAAGAAGAGGGGCTGAACACCTTTTGCAGAGATATTTCGTGGATATTTTTTTTATGACAGATCATCTCGGAAACTTGCAAAAAATGCCGTATTTCCAACCGACATTATTAATAAATTAGTGCACAAATATAGTAAATCTTATTTTTGTAATAAAGCGTGAACTGTTGTCTACAAATGTGTGTAAAAGGTTTTTGATTCGATTCACGCGTTTAGGCACAGCAACCCAAAATCGTTGTACAAATTCATAAAGAGTACCCATTTTTTTTATAAAACAAGTAATTTTTAGGCAAAAAACAAAACTGACTTCAATTCTGATATAAAAATTTAAGATTATCGTTAATCTCTTCATGAGCCAAGGTTATGTCGAAAGGCTGGCTTTAGCAGCATATGATTAAACAACTTTTGGCAAATAAAAGTGCAAGAAATAGTTCCGATACTAGCAAGTCAATATTCTTATTAAGTCGTCAAAAAATTCATTGTCCTTTAAACAATAAAGCGAATGTCGCATTATACTAAAGCCAGCCTTTCGACATAAGCTACTATTCCCTATGAACACAGAAATATTCCGAGGAATTGATACCCTTCTCTTTGTGAAGTTGGTTAAAGTATTGTCGAATGTATGGGAGAAACTGCGTGAAAAAATTTCCTAACATTTTTGGGGTTTTTTGCCACATTTAAACTTGCACTTTGATATACTTGAACTAAATGGGCTATAAATCTAAATACTTGGAATTTTCATTGAAAACCTCTAAAAAAATGGAACTTGGTGCAAATTTATTCAGTTTTGCAAAAAGTTGAGAATTTTTAATTATATTTTGTTGTAGTATGAACTAAATTTATAAAAAGTTTTGCGTATAATATTGTGAAAAATTCCCTTTGGTATTAATTTAGTGCTGCTCTGTATATAAAGTTAATCGATAAAATTTTGGCAGTGACAGGCTGAGTTCCAAAACGTCAGCTGCAAAGCAACTATACAAAGTCACGCATTAGTTGCGTTCCTTATCTCCCAGAAATAGTCGGAAAAAGTTCGAAGTAGTCAGATTTAGTCCAAAAAGCGTTCCTTAACTCGAAAATGACAGCAAAAATTAGAGAGCAACACCCAGTGAGAGTGACTCTCCAGTCCGAAGTTTTCAGATTTAGTCAGCAGAATTTTTGCTGACAAAATCTTGAAAAGTGTCAAACTCAGCTGAATTTAAATTAACGGAAATTAAAGAATACGCAAAAAGTGAGAATAACATAGAGTAAAAAAAGTGAATTGAAATTGGAAGGATACAAAAAATAATTGATATATAGTAATAGCCCAGTTATGCATACTTGCACTGCTTTACCATTTTTACGTAAAAATCAAAACCCAACAGAATTCTACATGTTAAGTGCTATGCGTTGGGTAACCGCTTACACTTAAAGCCCATTTAACAGATTCTTTTGTGACAACTCTCATGCAAAGCTAAGTATGCATAACTGGGCTATAAGTGTTTATTGTTTCTATTGTTTTGTTTCATTTCTATTCTTATTTGACGTTAGTTTTCTTGTTGCCATTCTTTGGACTAATACTGTGGTTTTTTGCGTTCCTTTACTTTTTCCTGTTATTCTCTTTTAGTGAGCGCATTTTGCTTACGCTGTTGTATACTGTCGTACTGTTGTATGTCATAAACTTCAAACGGCTAAAACTATATTTAAAAAATTCGCAAGCTAACAAAAGTTTTATTAAGAAATTTCACACAATTAAAAAATAATTGGTGGTGATTTCAAGTCCTCTAAACATTTATTTAGCCGTTTAAAAATTTTCAACAACATACAACAATACGACAAGTACGACACCTTGTGAACCACCCAATTGTATTGATACGTGTTGGAAGTCAGCCATATTTTAACAATATTCGCATAGGTATAAAAATCTGTGTCAATACTATAATAAAACACACAATTCGAAGTTTCAAAATAACAAAAAAAAAAAACAGGAAAGGAAGAATTTTATCTTTTGAGTTTTAAGAAAATTTTGGCATACATAATTAATTTTAATTTAATATAATAAAAAGCAAACTTTATGTTGATCAAAATTACGGTTGATTTGTAATAATTTTTATTTCTGATGGTCTTTCTTATTTTCTTTGATCTCGTCAATAAAAAGTTTACTTCCTAAATTTTGTACTAAGTTTGAAAATTTGAATTACAAGATGCACGTGTGGAATAAGCCATAACGCAAAAAAAACTACTAAGCATATCGCCACCTAAAATGCAAAAACCCCTAAGTAACATCGTCTCTGAAATGCAAAAAGGCGTGACTTATAAATTTGTTTTTGCATAAAATTTGTGAAGATTTCAATTCGATGAAATTCAAACTGACAATTTTTGCATTTCACCGACGATATTAGTTACGGCTTTTTGCAAATATTGTTAAAAAATTACTGGAAAGTTCTTGGATTCACTCTATGTACATACATATGTATACGTATATAAAGCGATGAAATGTTTGCCATTTCAATAAGCTTTAATAAAAAAAATATCTTTATAGGATACATCACGCGATCGTAATGATGATAGGAAGCGTTCCCGACAAGATGTAAGTAATATGTTAATTGAAGCAGGTATAAATAAGAAATACTTTGACCAGGGAGTTTACAATATTCCCTTTTAGTTGTATAATCTTACCTATTAACATTGATATTTTATATATATTTATGCACGAATAGAAATATATTTAGAAAGGTCGAATTTCGAAAGGCGTGAAACCAAAAATATATATGCCATTCGCAACGATCGATTGAGAACATTTTATAACTTTGCCACCAAAGCAAACAGAGTATGTACACAGAGAGAAACTCTGGAAGTGCTGTGTGGCAGAGTTGACACGATTTCGACCTAACATACTGAGGCACTGATAAGGCTCTTGGTCGCACATTTTGATTAAAGAGCGGCGCCGCCATTATGAACGTCGATTATATGAATTTCATTGAGTTCGAGATAAACGCCGAGAATTGAAGATGATAATATCGAGAGTAAATAAAGTATTACATATGTATATGTATTTATATTGAGCTATGAACAACTGCAGAGGTAAAAAATTCCTCCGATGCATTTTGCTGTCCAATTACAATTACAAAATTAATAGATCAGTACAATCTGAAGATGATAGCGACGATTCCCATATCGATTATATCTAATATTATTGTCTCGAAGAGCTTTTTAGGAGATTTGCCAATGCCGCATTGATACCTCCCCTTTTTACCCAATTCCTAAACAATATAAAATAGAAACTCATTTAAACCTACACAAAAATCTAAATACTAAATTGACAGAATATAAGTGCTCAAAACCGTGTATAGTTAATTCTGTAAGAATACATAAAACCAAAAAAATCCTCATCATCGTCAACAGGACTATCGACGCAACTCATCAACCGGACGTGGTAATCGCACGCCACCGCCGCCTCCACCACCAATGGTCTCATCAGCATCCACATCGAACTATCGTAGTACTGGTGGGGCTAATACATCTAGCAATTCATATCGTGGTGCGAATTCCCGGAATGATAGAGATGACTCCAATGCAAATACCAGCCGTCACCGTTCTCCAATGGGCATACAAAAGCGTCCCATGCGCACCGGCTACATTTCAAGAGCTCGCGGTAATATCTCGTCATATCGAGGTGGCATGCGCAGTACTATGCTGAGGGGCGGTGTGCGCATCATTCGCAACAACCGGAATGAAGCGAACGATTTGCGCATTATGCGCGGAAAGCTGTTGTATGCTCAACAAAAAGATCGTGCGCGTGTATTAAAAATACAGCGCCTAACAAGGTAATTAGAAAAAAAAAACAGAAGAAACTGCATAATTGCATTTGAGTTGACTTGAGTTAATTGAGTTGTGTTGTATGAAAATGTCTTGAGGCTGAGTAAAAGGACTTGATATTTGTTGTATCAACTAAATGGAAATAAAAGAATCGCAAAAATGTGAAGTCGATTTAAGCAGGATAATATGAAATGTGAACGTGTATGGTTTGGGTTTGGTTGTAAGCTTATTATATTCTGAGTTTATACTTTTCAAACAGACACTACAAATAATTCGATATGCATACATAACTACGTGTTCGACGCATAAATTATGAGGAACTCCTCTTACAACAGACGTTGTTATAGATCAGAGATGAAAGCATTTATTTTGAAATGCTTATTACTGGCCGGGGTTTCTTTGCATTTCTAACCTATGTAAACTGCTGAATACATTGCTCTTTGAATCTGTCTTGACTACCCAAAGTGGCAATGATATGCAACAGCTTAAAAACGAGAGCCGCGTATGTTCGATGGATTTGTGTAAACAATGCAAAATCCAAAAAAACAATAGCAGCTGATTGACCTTTTCCACTCGAAGCATTTTGTAACAAACAAAACAAAAAAAACTTATAGCATCAGAAAGTACCTCTTAATTTTGTTCATCAATTAATATACAAATTTTGCGTTTGCGCTACAAAACCTAGCTCATTACGTCGTCGTAGGATAGTGCGTCATTCGAAAAGCCCACGACGTTCTCGAACCAAGAAGGACGATTCATCAGATGAAGAGGAAGATAATGAGAAAGACAACGACACCGATAAGGATGATAGCAAGAGTGACTCCGAAACTAAGAAGAAATCTTCGAAACGTAGCAGCAGCAAGCGGGCCAAGTCTTCGGATAAGGGTGATGATGCCGAAAAAGCTGGGGAAAATGATGGTGATGACGACGATGATGAAGATAACGAGGGCGACGAGAGTAAGGAGGAAATAAAGTCGGCAAAGAAGAGTAAAAAGGGTGAGGATTCATCAGCGGAAACTGATGATCATAAGGATGATGATGATGATGATGATGAAGAAGAAGGTGGTGATGGTGAAGCCGAAGGGACAGCAGGTGACGCAAAGGCTGATAAAGAGAAGGAGGGTGGTGAGAAAGAGGTAAAGAAAGAAGGTAAGAAGAAAGAGAAGGAGAAGGATGATGACGATCGCAAGAAGGAGAAATCCAAGAAAAGTACATCGTCCTCCTCCAAGAAGGACAAGGAAAAGGGTAAAGAGAGCAAGGAGAGGCGCAAGAAGGACGACCATAGTGAAGATGATTCAGAGAAGAAGGAAAAGAAGTCGCACAGTTCGCGACGTGATGATTACAAATCAGGCACATCTGGGCGTCTCAACTTAAAGTGCATTCACTGTCACATGAACTGCTTCGGATTTTTGGTAAGTTATGT